TCGATGATGAAATTCGTTGCCAACGCTTTTAAAAGTCGATTTTTAACGATTTTATCGATTCGTTGTTGCAGCCCTAAACAATTCCATTAAAAATGATTTGCAAATCCAAATGTAGCTTCATTAAGTTTGGTTTCTTTGCATTATTGATTTATTGTTTCTCCTGTTCTGCAGGTGACATTCATGGGCAATACTATGATCTCCTGAGGCTTTTTGAGTACGGGGGCTTCCCTCCAGAGAGCAACTACCTGTTCCTGGGTGACTATGTTGACAGGGGGAAGCAGTCTCTTGAAACCATCTGTCTTCTTCTGGCCTACAAAATTAAATATCCAGAGAACTTCTTCCTACTGAGGGGAAACCATGAATGTGCATCAATCAACAGAATATATGGTTTCTACGATGAGTGTGAGTATGATTTAATTGGACCAATTTAGTTTTAGTGTTTAAAGTATACAAGGATGTGAAGGCTGTAGTGGCCAAGATATACATGACTTCACAGTATATATAAGAGGTCCTGCATTAAAAAAAAACATAACTGCAAAAGAGAAAAGCTGCAATCACAGAAAATAGTTAAACAAGGTAGAAAGACAAATTATAGGAAAGAGTAGCAATCTGACGCACAAACAGCATCACAGGTGTTTGTCCACTAGATAGTCAAGCTTAAAAACTATGATACAAATACCTCAAATTGGTATGAAGCTACAGACATCTAAGCTAAGTACCTCTGCAGTCACCACAATAAATGCCATCCGAATAGTGCTGACAGATAGGAAGGAACTATAGGACCTAGAGCAAGGATCACTTATGATGGTAACTGGTTTAACGATAAACAGTAACCTCAGTGGATGCTGTTTGAATTGCCCTAAACGTTTAACATTTAACAGCAATCATTCAATAATGCTTTGAGCAGAGCTGAACTGTCATAGCGCTGTCAGTATTAAAAATTGAATTTTTGTCTTCTGTTGTATGTAAAACTCTTACAGGTAATGTTGTTTGCCTTGTTGCTTTTTATATTTTATTTTACCATGTTTGGTGGCAGGAATGGTGCTGCAGTAACGTTCATGGACTTTTCACAGTTCTATAGAAGTAGTTTTTAAAAGTTTGTACAACATATCGGTGGTTTCTAAATGGAGCTGAATGTTTCTAATTTTCAACCAATATAATAGTTGAATAACCTAAATAATCAAATATAACACAAAAATGTGTTACTGTGCTCATATGATCATTTTATAGTTATAGGGGAACCCTTTTTTTCCTGTAATTGATAAAATGATTTATTTTGTCAATACCTGTTTTTATAAATTGCGAATATTTAAAGACCTAGTAATTAATAAAAATTCGAATCGCGTCACACCGCTAGTTCAAAAATAATTAAAAAAAATTTTTTTAAGATGACCCTTTCCTCTTTCCTCCAGATTTCGCTTTTAGACAGCGTCCTATTTCTGATTTTACTTAGTCTGGCATTGATTCATGTCTGTTATTGTACCGTGGGAATAGGGGTGTAAATAATAATCGTTTTGTATCGATGCATCGATCCAACAGCCGACGATCCGATGCATCGACACGTCCGCAAGAGAATCGATTCATGTTTTTTTCAATTTCGGTCATAAAAACAAAACAAGTCGGCCTCCTGTCTGCGGCACTGTTTGCGGTCAGCTACAATTTGGGAGAGGAGCAGCGGAGCTTCTGTGGAGGGGGCGGGGACGTCTGGAGCCGAGGTTTTGAATTGCTCT